TTCAGCTTTCACATAGAATCTCGAGTTCCTCAGGACTACCTTGAAAGCAGATTGCACTTGATGTTTTCGTCACAGTTATTCCCAAAACTCCTTTGGAATGAGTTCCTTGGATCGTTCAATTTCATAAACCTTAACAATTATGCAAGGTCCTTAATCTTGATGTTTTTTTTCAAATTTGCGATCTTGGACAATACCTAGGGTATGTAGGGTTTTGTAAATTTCTTCAAGCTTAATTATTTTTACTATCCATATTCCGATCCTAAAAAATCAAGCCACTGATTTTTAAAAATTTATTTTGGTACCGTAAAACGGGGTATCTTTGATAATGCGGGTAACTTTGATAGTATAATATAAAGATTAAATTTACTCACTGCGCAAATTTTCCGTTGATATCGTATATAGTTTTCATATAGTATGTGTTAGATATTTTACAAACATATTAAAAACAATTTTCGTGTTTTTCGCCTTTTTGAAAAGCACTCAAGCCATCACTTATGAAATGTATTTTCGATACAGCCATCACAAATTCAATGTTGTATTCTTATTTTTTATGAAGTTTTCTGATTATATACTCATTCAAAGTTTCATATTTAAAGAACTAAATTGTTCATTTTTTTCTACATTCATCGAGCATTATTAAAGTAACCCCAAATCAAAATACTGAAGTTCGGTCACAAACCTAAACCAATAGTGCAAATGATCTAATTTCCGTTAAACCTATTACTTACTAATTAACTCTTGGATCACCAGTACTTGTTTTAAAAATATAAAATTGGAAAAAAACATTCTTTGTTGTAAAAAATATTTAGAATATACTTTAAAAAACCATCAATGTTACCCCGTTTTACGGTACTGGAAATAAATCCGCTCAGGATCTATTAAGTTCAATGAGGGAAAGAAAATATCGAGAAAAATTAAATGTTTCCATAATAAAATGTATTATATACTTTAAAAAATCCTTAGGAAGAGACTTTGAAAATTTGCTGCGAGTTCCAGGTTTTTCCTGGAGAAATAAAATTCCCTGTGGATTCCCGATTTTCTAGATTTTTTCAGGTAGTAAACACCCTGAATTTCTATACAGTGCTTTCCCGATGTTGTCAGCCTGAAGATTTCGCTAAACTTTTTGGTTTTTAAGCATGAATTCGCAAGTATTTCGCGAAATACTTGATGACACTTAATTGTTTGGTTGCAACAATAACAGAGGTAACTCAAATAATCCTCAATTATTGCGACACTGCACAGCTGTATCGAGTCCCTCCCGATAAAGATAACTAAAGCTGGAATGGCTGCAGTACAAGTTATGGGCAGATACCCCATTCAAGAAGAAGGTTTCGTGATCGCCAATATTAACGGAGCTTTCATATGCAGTTGCTACGCACCCGATGGATGATGGAGACGAAGACCGGTAGTCATCGGAGGAGACTTCAATGCTTAGGCAGTAGAGTGGAGAAACAGATGTATCAACGCAAGAGGGCACATTCTGCTGGAAGCTCTGGCGAAGCTGGAAATTAGGCTGTTCAATAAAGGCACCACCAGCACTTTTCGCAGATATAGCCGGGAATCCATTATCGACGTCACTTTATGCGGACTGCAGTCCGTCGCTGGTGAAAAACATGAATTGGAGAGTGTGTGAAGGATATACCCATAGTAACCTTCAGGCAATCCGATATGGTATCGGCAAACGGAATCCTGTGGCAGTACAGAGGACGAAAACTTGTGACCTGAAGTGGAAGACGAGTTGACAGAATCGTTAGCGAGAGCATGTGACACGACCATTCCGAAGAAACTGGAGCTAAATAACAGACGGCCTCCAGCTTACTGCTGCAGCGAGGCAATTAGCACCCTCCGCGCTAGTTGTCTCAGAGCCAAAATACGTGTTCAGAGAGCAAGAACAGAAGCAGACAGAGAGGAACGTAGAAGAATGTCCCGAGCACATAAATGAGAGATAAACCAGTCATGTCGTGATGACGAAGATCAGATGTCAAGTCATGCCCGCTGAAATGTGCTTAGAGAACCTGAAAGTCATCGTGGAAGGACTTTTCTTGAAGCACGATCTAACGACCTGGCCACCTACATTGTACGTAGACGGAGAGGGAGATAACGACGAACTCGTAGCAGTGCCTGCTGGATACACTCGGAAAACTCTTGGTGAGGATCACGAAATGCACGGAGAGTGAGCAAGGATAGTCAGAGAGGCAGTTCGGATTTCGAAAAGGAAGAGCAAAAGTGAATGCAATTCGGACAGTTGTCGAGAGAGTCGAGAAGGCGTCGAAACAGAAGTGGAGAGGAGATCGATATTACGCCGTGATAAAGATCGACGTTAAGAATGCGCTCAACAGCTCCAGCTGGGAGGCCGACGCTACTTCCAGAACCGGGCTCTGATCTACGAGTCAAATAGGGACAGAGATCAATTAGGATCACAGTGGAAATTCCGCAAGGGTCTATCCTTCCATCCAACGCTCTGGAACGTGATTTAAAACGGCGGTCTAACGCTGAAGCTACCAAAACTAGTTGAGATCGTTGGCTTTGCGAACGACGTCGTCTTACGGTAACAGGCAAGATGCTGGAATAGATGGAAATGTTGGCGACCGAGGCTGCAGATAGCCCACAACAAAAGCGAGGTGGTATTGATCAGTAATTTTAAAGCGCTGCAGCGGTTGGAAATTACCGTTGGGGAGCACGCAATAAACTAGAAGTGCGTGTTGAAATGCCTGAGAGTGATGGTCGACGACAGTTTGGCTTCAATAGCCACGTTGAATACGCCTACGAGAATGCAGCGAAGGTCATCAACGCGGTAGCCAGAATCATACCGAACATCTCGGGACCAAGCAGTAGCAAGAGACGGCTTCGGGCTAGTATATTTACGTTGATACTGAGATATGGAGGTTCAGCCTTTGTTGCAGCGCTGAAAACCAAGTGGAATTTAAGGAAACCGAACAGTACGAACCGGCTCAACAAACCGTACGCAAACTTTTCGATACGTTTGGTTTACCCTTTGTTGTAAGAATAGAAAACAGATATCAGTTATTCCATTAATAGTGGATAAATAATTGATGGTTAAAATATTGAAAAAGAAAATTTCCCGATTTTGTCAACTTCCCGTTTTGTCAGCTTAAAATTTCAGATGGGGCTGACAAAAACGGGAAAGTACTGTAGTAGTTTTATCTTCTTTTTCCTGACATGAGACGGAATAATTGTTGGTTCTGGAGGCGAACCAGCCTAAGGCTGAAAGCCTCATAAATAAAGCTAAATAATAATAATAATAATTGTTGGCCAAAATACTTATAAGGCAAGTCGTGCCATAGCATAATTCTTCATGTAGGAGGGACTTACAATGCTAATCTAAAAGCATAATTAGAGGTACCGTCAGTGTTTGGTACTGAAATCTGTAATCTGTGATAGGGAAATCACTTTTTCACCAAGAAAAATGCACGAGAAGTTAACCAAACAGCTTAACGTAGTGTACAGAACCCCACCATTTTTGTTTCAATTGATACAAACGATACTCCCTTAGCTCAATCAGGTAATGGTGCAGATACGAAGCAAGTCCATGTTGGAGGCGGCTGGGTTCGATTCCCGTCCGGTCTATTCATTTATCGGGTTTGAAATATTTTTAGACTGCCTTGGGCATAGGATGGTACAAGCATAGAAAGCTCTCAGCGAAAATGTGGAAGTGCCTCAAAGAACACAAAGTTGAGAGCAGGTAAGAAGCTATTATGCTATAAGCAATAAGCTTGATATGTCATGTAGTAGTCGTACACATGGTATTTTTAAGCAATAGCTTTTTATTTGACGCGGATTAGTATTTGATGGGGTTGTTAGGGGGTGACATCCAAACCATTCGCCCTTGGTGTCATCGTGTCACGCTACGTACCAAACGCCATTTTCGCCACCTGCTGAGTACGGTGCTGATCAGGCGTAAATTAGCAATAAATGAACGTTGAAATATTTCTGATAAATCCTGATGAAGTCTTAGTGGAATACCTGTCTAATGAGAGAGTGAAGGATTAGTAATTTCCATTTAATTCCACTACCTTATTTGCTTATATACGCGTATCTGTCAAGGATAAGCAAATAAGGTAGTCGAATTAAACGGAAATTACTAATCCTTCTCTCTCTCATTATATTTCTGATATATTTTTAAACGAGTCCTTCAACTACTCTGCAGACTTCAGTATCAGTAACAAGAATCAAAACTGGTTTCAGCAACAACAAAATCCTTCATCTTCCTCTCACGATTGATCCACACGATTTCCGAATCGCGCAAATCATAGAACCATGCGGTAAGCTAAAATTTAAACAAAGCCAGAAGTCACTTGAAAATTTCACGCCGCCCGTTGTTTACCAAACTACCTCGCTCACAGCCATTTGTTTTTGTTTACATTATTAGCCACTCGGACTGAGACTTAACGTTCGTCGTCTGGCTCCGCGATTTGAACCTATACAAACCATAAGGAAAGTGAGACTCACTTTTAGCACTAGACAGGCAGGCTACACACTTAGAAAAATTCATGTAAATTTAGGTGCTCTGAGAGACATAAATTTGAGTCATAACAGACGTGAAATATAGCTTAATAAAACGTACTTTTCGTCGAGCAACGAACTTTTCAGTCTCGAAGCACTTAAGCACTTTTATGTCAAAGATAGATTCCGTCACGTGTAAAATTAGTTATTTCTAAGTGTGTAGGGTAGGGTGTCGCTTTTGTTTACCAAACACATGGAGCGCGTGCGAGGAAAAAGTCAGCCGTCATCGCGATCTTCACGTGGAATATGAAGCGGGCGGCTGCGCCATAACGTGATCGATCGGTGCGCGATTTCTCCGTCTGGGCAGGGTGTCCATGAGATCGGTCACTTATCCCCATTAGCAGATGGTTTGTGTTTGCTGAAACCGGATTCATTTGTTGTTGATTTCTAGCGTTGCTAGTTAGAGAACGTCGTCGTTCGGAAAATCATTATCGGTTGATAATTATATTAGGAAGAGGGTTCTGACCTTGACATCGTTAAATCGGCAGATTTTGAACTCAACGCCTGATGGGTATGCAATCAAAGGTCTTCGAAGCAATATTGATTGCAAACTGCAAGCCTAACTACTTGCATGCAAGTTTTTAAATCTCGCTAATCATTCAGTGAAATGAAACAACCTTTCCCGCACAATCTACTTCAATGGCTAGTATTTATTTGTTGCCTTAAATCAGTTTCCATAAAGTGGTAAAATTGACAGTTGCCTACTAATTATTACTTACTACCGTGATGAAGCTGACTCGATGCACCTTTTTAGCACGCCAAAGAGAACTTGCAAGTGTTACAAAATGTGTAATCTAACTTCGAACCGACTGGAGAACACTTCCGTTGTCCATTGGTGCATTGACTACCTTAAAGGCTACGGTTTCTAGGTAAATTGCCTACATGGGATGGTCTACTGCTTCTGTGTATCAATATTTGATCTAACGCGTATACAAAAGGTGTGTTTATCGGTTTCAATACAATAGCGTTCTGTGTAGAACGAAGTGCTATATTAAAGGTAAAATTTTTGGTTCTCTTTACTCACAATCGTAATTAGCTTACACACAAAAGAGTTATTTCCACGTGCTACCTCACCCTCTATCTCTTATCAGAATTGCTACGAAATCGTTTTTATCTTCTTCGAAAAAAAGGAATGTTCCACCTACCCTAGAGCCGTGTGAGTGTGGATGTCTACTTAACCTAGTTACAATCTAAAGAACTTCTCATTCATTCATTCGTCACCGCAACCTTCAACTATCAGGCGATGTGTCACACCGATTCACACCTCACGTTACTCGTCCGCTACTACAAACTATATTTACAAAAAAAAGCACTCGCTTTCTGTCGTGTGGTGTACTTGTTCCCTCAGATATTTTTTTCCCCACACAAAGAGGGGTTGGGGATTACTTTTTACCTGTCCGCAATTATTCACGTACGACTGTCGCAATTCCCGGCTGAAATTACGCCATCGTTGTTGCTCTATGGTTTCGACTGTCCCGTACTAAATGCGTTTTCTATTTCTTTGTATGTTTGTGTGTGTGTATATTTGTATTTGTTTTATGCACGAAAAATATTGTTGGTCCGCGTGCAGAGAGTATTTGCTTGGCAAATCTCTACGAATATTCATACCGCATTGTGCTGAGTAAGGTTTCAGCCTTGGGTGTCATAAGCACCGGACAAGGGACACACTCGTCGTCGTAATCTAATACTTTTTAAGTAATATCACACACGGAGCGGTTGATGGAATTCAAAGACTCCAAACTAGACTTTGTTCAGCGGTACCTCCTCGGCCGGTCGCACCTGATCCGTCGGGGCCGGTCTTCGCTTGGAGCCGCACAGTTTGTTCTTGATGCCCGTTTGCCGGCATATGATACCGATCAGCAGGACCAGGAGCGCGACTCCGATGATTCCCATCAGCAGTTGTTTCATGGTATCGGAACTGATGGAAGCTAGCAGGGATTGGTTGTCCTGTTCCGGAGTGGTTTCCTTCTTGACGTCATCTTTGGAGCTGGGATCGTCCGCAGAGTGAGTGATGGAAGCTGACGATGGACCGCTGGCTGTCGGAGCAGCGTTTGTCGTCGTGGTGGTGATGTCGCTTGTGCTGGTTGATTTTCTTACTGGCAGTATGGATTTCGGAGGAGGAGCAGGTGTGCTCTTGGATTGTTCCTGATCCGAATCGATTTCATTCTCCTTTTGGATCACTTTCTTTGCCGGTTTGGTCGGTTTGCTCTGTATGCTGTCGTCAGAGTCTGAAAGAATTGACACGAGAAAATGAAATTCCTGGAAGGATCTAAATCAAGCTTGAAAGAAGTTTCTCACCTTCGGTGGGTTCCCTTTTCGGTTCGGGAGTGATCGGAGGATGCGTGATGATGCTTTCCTCATAGGAAGTTTCCGACGCTAGGTAGAAGCAGCTGATGTTGTGGGTTGTGATGTCCACAACGTCGATAGATTTCACCACATCGCATAGTTCCCGCACGGCGTCCTCCGAAAGCGGTGGCAAGTTTAACCGTTGTAGATTTTCCAACGGTTCGAACACGTCGGTACTGATATCCTGAATTGAAAAAAAAATAACATATTTCAAATCGACGCGTTAATGTCACTTGTTGTACTAGTCTTTTCGGACTCTAATGGCTAAGGTATCTTACAAATGTGCAAAACTGCTTAACTGAACGTTACATAGCGCGTGGAAGCGCTGAAAATGTGATGCACGACCACAAAATTTCAACTCACCTCATCGAACTCATTCCCGGCCAAATTCAGCCACTTGAGTCCACCCATCCCGGTAAATGCATCCCGTGTCAACTCGGTCAGGTTACACCGTGCCAGTTCCAGTTCCTCCAAATCTTCCTGCTCCAAGAATGGCCCCTCGTCCGAAATCACCAACGGATTCTCACTGAGCACCAACCTCCTCAGCGATTGTGCTTCCACAAAGGTGTCCGTCGCCAGATGACTCAGCTGATTACCCGCCAACCCCAGTACGTCCAAATGTGCCATGTTCATGAAAACCTCCTTGTCAATCTCCTCGATCACGTTCCGATCCAACAGGATCTCTCGTACGTCGGTACAATTCTGGAACGCTTCCACCGGAATGCGTTTTATGTTGTTCCCGCTCAAATCCAACCGGATCACATTCTTCGGCAAATCCGTTGGAATCTCTAGCAGTGACCGCTGGGAACAGTTGAGGAACTTCGTTCCATCTTCACAGGAGCAATCCCGTGGACAGGGGTAGTCCTCGCGAACTGGAAAACCGATAGAAAAAAAAAACCCTATAATGCATCGTATCATTAATAACCTCTCTGGGAAGCCACCTACCATCATCTTCGTCGCTCCAGAGCGGTGCTGCCGTTGTCCGACCAGTCGTAGTGATGGTGCTAGTCGTAGTTGTCGCAGGACTCCGGGTACTTGCCGGCATCGATTTGTCACTGTCAAGCGAACCCTGGTCGCCATCGTCGTAGTTGTCGTCATACTCTTCGTCGTACTCGTCGTCGTAGTGGTAATCGCTGTCATCGTCACTACTGGCGGCCAAGGCAGCCGGTAAACAGATGCTATAACAAATACGGGTCGGTGGTTGGGGGTGGTAAATAGAAAATTGATTAATTCATGTCTGACACGCCGAGCTGATGGTTCCTTTCGGGTTCAGTTGAGATTTTGGAAGTGAGACTGCCCTGCGCTGCTAGTTGGATGAATGGATGGGTGTGCGTTGATGGAAACAGTAATTACCGAATACAGTCGCGCTAGGGGACGGAACTTTGAACCTTCGTCGAACAAAAATGATAAGTTCAATTTGATTGGTGCCAATAACGCCGTGCACCGGTTGACGTCAGATTCGATTGTTACTTGGAAATGCAAGCCTGTAATCAATTCTACTCGTGCTTGATAGATTGTATGTTACGTATCGTACGATACTGAACAAGGAATTTCACTTCCAGTTTCAAGTCATCTTTTTGATAAGATCCTTCGATTGTCAGTTACAACATCGAGGCCGTTCCGTTTCTCAAAGTGCCATTCCGCCTGTTCTAATACTTAAGGCACTTAGAAGGCACCCCAAACTGAATACCTAAGCACATTTCGACCAGTTCGACGGTAAAATTGCACTCCATGACCTCAAAATTGGTATAACTCGGCTGATATGTTCCCACTGGCTTCATTATTCAAACCGTTTTGCCTATTTACTCGATGGGTTCAAAGATGAAACCGCTTTCGTCAGCACCTAATTTATATCCCCTTCATCAATTCCCCCTCGAGCTGTAATCGCCCTGTTTATTTTTATCGTCGATTTCGACGACGCTACACGGGACCGATATTGCGGTTTGGCTCTTTATTTATTATCGTGGCCCGTGATTATGTGACGTGACGTCACGTGTTTACTCCTTGGACGTTGTTTGCTCGATCCGCCATGTAAATAAAGCGACTCCTAGAGATTCAAGGTTCGCCGTGCGAATCGCACAATACCCGCCACGGTGCGTATGACCGACCAATCAAAGAAGAAGCGGTAAATCTCCACAATTGAATTACGTTCCCGTGGCTGGCTACCTTAACCGTCGTCGTCGTGGATCGTGACAGGCTCGCGACAACTCGAGCGCGGCTTGTTTTGAATTTGAATTTGTATGCTTTGATTGAACGGGCCACACCAGCACCGACCGGCTTGGGAAAGTTTGGCCCCAACGCGCGCGGTCGGCGCTCTTCCAAGTAGCTGGTTCTATTTTTTCGAATAATTGAATTAAGTAGCTGCCGGAGCGTGTTTGTGTGTTCTTTATGTATGTACCTAAGCTGGCCTTTATGCGTTGATTTCTTTTTTTTCCCAAGTAAAACGAATAACGACTAGGTCAGCGGTGTTATCAGTACGCTGCGAGGTAGCTGAGGATTGTTTTGTTGTTTCTATATTGATGTAACAAGCGTAGTAGAAATTCCCACCGAACGATTCGGGAAGCAATATTGGTGCTTGAAGGTTCTTTAATTTGCGGAACCTACGTAGCCAGCTCCAAAGGGGATTAAACTTTGTCAGAATCTTCGGAAATACAGTGAAATCTCTACAACTCGATATTGAAGGGACCATCGAGTTATAGAACAAGGTCTTTCAAAGGTTAACACATTTTATAACGTTTCAAACTTGAATTGACATTTCACCAATTTTATCAAAACATCAAATCAGTGTAGCTCGGCGTGCTCCATCACATGCTGTTAAATTGTGGTCAATATTTTGATCCAACAACAAGTTCGTGCTAGATTACCAACCTATCCATTGGCCAAATCAACTAAATCGATGATTTACCGTAAATTGACCAAATCTCGGATTGATCGGACAGCCCGTCATTGGAACAGAACTATATTTTTCTAGAAAGCGAAGATGGCATGTCAAGAAGACTAGCTACTCTGTCGTCTCCATTTGACCATCAACTGATGAAGATCCAAATTTAGATTCAAAGATGTGCTCATTTCGCTATGCACATAGTCTTTATAAAATGTTAAGAAGCCTAATTTTGAATAAAATCAAATCAATGATTGTACATATGTCGATACGATTATATTTGCTATGACGAATGATCAGTATTCTTTGATGCATTGCTCACGAGGCATACGCTAAAATGCTGTCAATTAGCACTTTGGTTTAGGTGTCCATTTTTTTACATCGGTATCCCAATTCCTGATACGGGCGAACAGTTCGCAACAAGCCATAATAGCATGACAATTCAAAAATTATTTTAATAATTAGGTCAAATTACCAGTTTCCTAATTATTGAATAAATGTATCCATAGCCAAAAAGTAATTGGGCGCTTAAGTAATTTGACAAATATCAAATCGAGTACCTACACTAACTTTTCTGAAAGTGAATTCGCCTAAAAATCCATTGAGCTATGTGTTAGCCTTCTATTTTTCGGTTGTCTATAACAATATCGAGGCCGTGGTGTTAATTAAAGCACCATTCTGCTGGTTTTAATACTTCTAGTACCTAAAAGAAGCCCCAAACTGAATACCTAATCGAATTTTGGACCATTTGGACGCTAAAATTTCACTCCCTGACCTCCGAGTTTGTATACCTCGACTTCATAGTTCAAACCGCTTCGCCTATTAACTCGATGGGTTCTACGATGATTGTTAAGCTGGCTGGTTGCACTCTCAGAAATAAGAGTTAGTTTTCTGATCGTGCAGTTCTTCTGTTTTCTTTAAGGTTGTTTACGGAAAATGGCATAAACTTGATTTATGATGGTCCGTACAATCTGTAATGCATCTCAGTGATTATTCCAAAGAAAGATATCATACGAATAGGACATATGTTCTAGCACAAATACCAGTCTGCATCTCATGTACACTTTCGTCAATCACATACGGTCAATCCATTTGACAGTTTTATCCCCACTGTTCAACCGTTGTTTCACCAGATCTCACTTAAATCAGTATTCCTTTATTTAACGTCGGTCTCTGTTCCGCAATCTAGTGCCAATCACCGATGGACATCAATTGCCATCCATTGACGGCAATCGAATGTGCAGGAAGGCAGCTTCCACACCTGCGTAGGATATCGCACCCATTCAAACACACATGGGCCGGGACCAACGGCTTTACTTCCCTTCCGAAGGAAGACGTAACCCGAGATTTGTATGCTTCAGACAAATTCCACCGACCTCGGCTGGGATTGAACCTAGACCCATTGGGGTGAGAAAGCAGTCAGTGCTGTTTTGCTAGCCATGTTTCTCCTCTTGGGTAAAAATCGTGTTAATTTTGGCTTCAGTTTTCGCTTAAGTTTGAAGATTTTTAATACATAATTGCTAACGAAAGACGACGAACAGATGACTACTGTATGAATTCCGGTGTTACTCTTTCCGAAGGAAAGGTGTTTTCAAACTATTTTAGCAAATTTAGGCTGTTTCTGAGCTGATTCACAGTTTTAAGGTTATTGTAGGTTGACCAGTGAACCCTAAAATCGGGAAAACCGAGAAAAACAAATCTACGTCATCTATTCTTCAGAAAAAAAAATTAGGTTTTGGACCTTTGAAAAATTTTAAGACTAGATTTTTTTTCGAAGAAATTTTGAGAATATTTTAGGATTAATTTCAGGGATAACACCAAGGTATTTCAGAGAAGATTAAAGGGAGTTTTGGAAATATAGATATTTTAGACTTTAACTACAAGTCACTTGTGTGAATACAATTTTTAAGTAGCTCAGTAAAAAATTCGATTGTGCAGAAGATTCCAGAATCCGTAAAAAATACCAAGGGAAAAAAAATTGAGACTACAATCCCATAGGAATTCTGGGCTTAACTTTGATGGGCTTCCGAAGATAGTTCCAAGGGCATCGAATTTGTAAGTAAATTTCTATGCAAAATTTCAGAAGAATTTAGAGGAGAACTCCAAGATAATTCGGATCAAAATTCCAAGACAATTCTGAAGTTAATTGCTTGATAATTCGAAGTGGGGTTTAAGTAGAATTATGAAAGGAAGCTTCGATGATGAGTTTCATGCTCATGCTCAATGCTCAAAGCATTTCTAGAGTGTTATAAATACATATTTTAGGGACTTCCAGAAAGATTTTCAAACTTATTTTAAAAGAATTCTGAAATAAACTCTATGAAGAGAAATGATCAAAAGGAAATGCTTGAGAATTATATAAGAAAATCCTGTAAACAGTTTTGAGGAAATTGTCAAAGCAGTTAAAAAAATGAAGAATTCGTACGCAGAATCAAATTCGACCCAAGAAAATGCTGCTGTCTTAGTAATGACCCATTAACTTAACTTAGTAATGACTATGAACTGTCTGGTCATAATGTTACTGTAGCGTGTTCTAACGTTATTTTGATCTTACAATATCTTATGAAATTTCCCAAAGTGGGTTACAATCAGCTATACTTTTAGATCCGCTTGTCCAATTCAGTCAGGCTATTGTTATGTCGTACAAAGGCCTTAGTCATCGAGTATTTGTCTCATATCTGCAATTTTACAACTACGAGGTCCTGTATCCAATGGGTCACTGCTATCGTCATACCCATAGTCAGTTGTCTTTCGTGGAACTCATTTCGACAAACCTAAGTTGTCTATCAAACATGCTGTTTCACCAGGTACACCACACATTTGCTTTCTGAATCATGCACCCTTATCAGCTGTTTACTCCAATCGTCAAAGTCTGATTCAAGTCCATTCACAAACCACACAGATTTCGAAACACCTTTCGGGTCAGTTTCTATCGCTCTTTTCAAACAACCGAAAACATCGCGATCACCTGCAAAGGCCCAGAAAAAAAAACATTCAACAGCTCCTCCATCCGCCCTGGTTTCTCGCTCGCAAGTACCTCTTCGAACCGGGTGGGTTTTTGCTCTTTAGCCGATGCTTGTTTATTATAACATACCATTTTTTTTACACACAATCTGGCATCCAAATGGCCGGTCGCGGTAGGACTTCATGAACGTCCCAATGCCCGGAGTTGAAAGTCAGTGAAATTGAATTGCAAACAGACGCTAGTCGCGCTGCCGCCGGCTGCGTCCGCCACCAGCAGCACCACCTTCTGAGCCCAGCAAAACCGAAAGTATATTTTTATAGCATTACACATCGTTTTCTCGACTTCTTGTAACTTCGTCGGCACGTACGTAGACGTATGTGTAGTGCAAAACTAGCCGCACTGGTATCCAAACCAATCCAGATGGGCTCTTTTTGCTTGGGCAGACGTCTACTAATCCGATCCAAAGGAAAGGAAAGGCCGGTACGCATATGTGCTCTCTCTCCCGCCGCGGTGCAGATCTTTAATTAGAGTCAGACAGAATCTGCACTCTTTTCCCCATTACCGGCGAACACAAACCAATCATAAATGTCAATGACTGTTGTACTTTGGGATTACCTACATATCTAGTCCAAATGGGGAGGTCGACGATCTTTGATGACATTTTAGTGGTACTAATTTGGAGGAACTTTCTCTGAGCAGTGCTTAATTATCGCACCAGACTTGTATTGTGTGTGGACTACCTTTTCAAAATCCTTCAAAACTTCCGCCAGCTCTATGCTACGTGCTACTACTACAACTACGGTCAAGGTCGTTCGACCCGGTTAGCCGCGCTGTCCGCACGCTATTCATTAGTAGTATCGCCCCCCCCCCCCCCTCCCCTTGATATCGGAACTCTCAATTGCGTAACTGAACAATCCAGTTCAATACCGGTAGCTCTGGTGTCCATCAACGCACAAGCCAGTCACGTGTCGTAATTGATGACCCGTAGCCGTGAAACACCCCGGACCATTATTCATTATCAGTATGCGCCAGCAAACGAATCTTTGTACCGTTGAGTTCATTAACACCACCACCTCGTTCCGCATTCATGCTGCTTATCCTCATCCAATAATCGAGCTGGCAGGCTCACTTCCAAATCCGATTAGTGACTTCCAGATTCTCACCTCAGTGCCAGTATCAACGCTAATCCACATGCCACTAATCTAGGCTTCATTGTAACTCCCAACTTTGCTTAATTTCACTCTCAACTGATATCTTCCCGAATCCCTTTCACTTTTCTTCTCTTCTTCCAACACGGACAGCAACCAACCGGGTCAGAGTTTTGTCCGCTTATCACACTCCCCCGAGTTTGGAATCAATAATAATTGATTTATACCCAACACACTTCTTATCATGCACTTTCAGAACAATTCCCTCGTAGTACACACACACCACCCGCTTTCGATCAACCGCCGTCGTTCAGCGTGTCGTCGCCGTAAGCTCCGCTCTGCTGCACTACTGGCTCTACACTGAGGCCGTTTTCCTCGGCTACACGCGACGATAGGCCTCCTCAGCCGTGGCAGCTCTCGCTACTACTGCTGCTCACTCTCGCTCTCAAGCACGGCGACGTCGCTTTTGTCCGTCGATTTTCCACAGTGTCGTCGTCGTTGCTCTTTGGTGGTGTGCAACTCATTGCACTCCTATACAACTGCTTCCCTTTTTCCCAACCACGAAAAATAGTCAAATGGCACTTTTATAGCTTTAAAGGTTTTTCCGCCCTCAAATGCTTCTTCTGGAAAGAAAACCAATTCAGTGGTGTCCTATTAGCACCACACCGCCGCCACTGGGTGGGTACCTATATTTTTGTTCATTAACGATTATTATTATTATACGAGCGGCAGGGCGATTCCAATCCGATCATAAATTATTTTGCTGGTTTGACTTGGCAGCCGCAGAGAACTGTTTTTCTTTTCTCTAGGTCTTTGGTCGTTTTGGGTTGAAGTCATGCGATTCAATTTCGGGAAACTCGTGCAGTCGTTCTCATCTCAAGTGCAACACACCGGTCGCTGCGATTGTGGTGTACACTGATGCGGTCTGAAATGATAGCAAAATGTGCAAGTGAATTAGCCGTTTGGATTTGTTAGGGTAGTAATGGGAATTTTCGCCGACACCTATTCTCAGCATGCGGTTGATTGTTTTTGTCACGTATTTTCCTATTCATATGGGTGTATCCTATTATCAGGGTGTATACTACCTGGATAAAACTGGAGAACCTGGATTCATTAAGGAATTTGAATTTTCCCGGAGAAACCTGGAATTCCTCGTAATTCACTCATTGATAATTTTGGAGTGGATTCATAATCATTATCAAGATAAATCCTGAAACTTGAATTGATTTTTTGGGAGTTCTGAGCCACGCAAAATAAATTTCTCGTACATCCATTGTAATGTTGGATTAATTACTTCTATGCATATGTTTCATACAACAAGTGTAATGGCAGTTCTGCAGCGTACAAGCAAGTCTTTCCAGAATGCATATTTTTGTTTAAAAAATTCACGAGATTATTTTCTAGACGCATTGCATTTGGGGAAGCAAGCTTTGTTCGAAAAAAAAAATAGCTAACATAAAAATTGCAGAATTATTTAAAAAACCTGACGGCGACCACGTTACAGAATCTGTTCGTGTCGCGAAACATGGCAAATTCTGCATACTTTTCATGCAAATCTATAATAGAATGTTACATTTCCCGGATGGGTGTAATTTATACAGATTTTAAACTTTGAAAACTTTTTGAAAACGTTCTTCTTCTTCTTCTTATTCTTCGCATTTCAAGCTTATTGCATATTGCATATAGCTTATTGCGTGCTCTCAACTTAGTGTTCTAGATGCACTTCCACAGTTATTAATTGAGAGCTTTCGATGCTTGTACCATTTTTGCATTGGTATAATTGTGTGGCAAGTCCAATCATACTCCTATGCCCAGGGAAGTCGAGAAATTTTCCAATCCGAAAAATTCCTAGACCGGACCGGGAATCGAACCCAGCCACCTCCAGCATGGTCATGCTTTGTAGCTGCGCCTTTACCGACTGAGCTAAGGGAAAACGTTGGCTTAATCAAATCAGGCTTGGTTAAATTTTCAATAATCAGGAACGTAATTAAATATGTAAGACGTCGGTCATTGAATATGTTTCCAGAATCCAGATAAAAATAAGGGTCTTGTGAAACTTTTGAAGCTTATGTGCTTTACTGAATGAATTTGATGTGAATTTCCAAGGAACTTGTGAAAACTCTAAGGTACTCGTATGTAGGAAATTCTAGCACGAATTCCAGGGCTGGTAGAAGGTCACTTTTTAGTTACTAGCCCAAGTAACAATATTAAATTTACTATCTTCTTGAAGAAAGCTTAAAGTTCAATCAATTAAAACCAGGTTTAAAGCTTAACTATCTCATATACCGTAATAAAACCTTCCAACCTAAGTGTTGTATTATAAATTCATTTTGGCCCACCCTACAAGATGTTGTCAAAACTTATATTAAAACTTTCTTAAAACTGTATAGTAATTAACGTGTATTTTTATGGTTCTCAAGACAACTTCAAAGCAGGCATAAGAGTACATGAAGAATATATAGATTTATTCGATGCTTCTTTTTTCTACAGCATAATCTTTCGAAATTTTATTGTAAAACCAAACCCCTTGGAGTATTTCAAAGAATTCCTTTCTTATTATTTGCAATTTTTTGCAATAAATTTTGTTGGAGCTCTGTGATGAATCTTTCGCACTAGGGTTGAATTTACCGCCAGAATTTTGTGTCTTATTGAATTCTCATCATAATTCTCACATAATTCATCACATTCTTCTTAACATTCATCTGAAATTTTCCTCACGATCCTCATACAAATCTCCTCAGAATCACATAAGAATTTTCCTTACAGTTTTTTTTTCACAACTCCCTTTGAAATCTTTAAAAATTACCTAATAATTTAATTTAAAACTTGCATTCTACTCGACAGAAATCCCTCCAAATTTATCTAACAATCTCCAAGGACTTCATGTCAGAATAATTCTGGAATTCTGCTCAGAACTTATCCTTTAAAAATGTTGTGGCAATCCTCCTCAATATTTGTTTGAAATCAACACTTTGCATACTTTTAAATTTTATTAAAAATCCCAGGGTTTGTCCGCAAGATTCTATCAATTGTTCTATAATTTCTCATAACCCTTAAAATGCTTCGAAGTCTCAGAGCCTTGACAATTATGACTCCACGACTCATAAGTATGATTTTTTTTTTTGCAAATTTGATTATATGATTTTAATTATGTTTTCTCCAAATCTTGCCTCACGAAGATTGTTATTAATAACAAATTTTGAATAAAAGTTCTATTGATAGACTCTACAAAAATTCAAAGCCCCAGAATCTTGGGAATCTTCTTAAATCATTTTTTTTTAATCCTTTCAGTAAATAACCTTTTAATAATGTTTTTCAAGTATTGGTCTATTGGACGTGAGTATTAAATTTCATGAACCATGTTTAGTTTCATGTTGAGCGAGTTCCAACTTCAGTACATTTTACATATTTTTTCGTATTTAACTTTGTACATCATCACAAGTAATGAAAGGTTAATATTTATGTTACAACAACGGAGTGAAGACACATTTTCTTTATCCGATATCCCTATCAATCCTCTAATTCTCATTTGTATCAAGTTTATTTTTTAGAAATTGATTTTTCAAAGTATCCCGAATGATCAATGATTTGTTTTGAATACATTAAGTGACATTCATAGAGTTGAATTTATACTTTCAGGTTTAAAAAATACTGTCTGTAATTTTGCTTTTATTTTTCCCGCAAATTACAGTTGGTCACGTTTTTAAAAATGCGTACAGTTTAATTTTTGTTGAATATTAACAAACGGGAAATTTTAAGATTTGAGCCGGGAAAACCGAGAATTTATGAAAATTCACTGGCCACCCTGATAAGTGCAAAGTGAGGAAATACTGCAAAAAAGGGTTATCTTCCATTTAATTCCACTTAAATAATGTTGGTATCCATGACAGATACGTATTTCGACTACAATGTGCAGTATTCATCAGTGTCATTCCCACTAAATACTTATCAAAAACCTAACCCCCTTAAGTACTCATCCCCTAGGTAAAAATGTCAAGATCACAGGTATAAAAATAAAACTACAATGTGTAGAATCGGAACCTACCTAACTAATAATAACCAAAGGTTTTAGTAAAGTAAAGGAGCAAAATCTATTCAAATCTAATGAAAGAAATGAAATTGGGTTGTTAGCGGAATGCTTAAATAAAGCAGGAAAAAAGGCAACCTAATTTCATTACTTCATTATGATGGCTACCAAGCCTTTGGGATTCTTTCCTTAGAGATATGAATAGATTTTTCTCCTTTACTTCACTAAAGCCTTTGGTTATTATTAGTTAGGTAGGTTCCGATTTTAAGAAAAAAATGAATGGATTCCTTACATCAATTGTTTCATTTTAAAGTATCATGAAACATGTTTATGACAACTTTTTACATGCATAGCACATCCTTGCTATGAAGCTTCATGAATTCGAGGGACATATTCTCAATTACTATATTAATCACTACCTAACGTAACATTTGAAGGGCCTATAATCTTTCGACTGAAGTGTAATGAAGAATATCCGTCAAACACTTCCGAAAACATTTTTTGATACAAAACAGTGTCAAAATCTAGAGAAAATTCATGACCTCCTCTGGGTAGCAAACTTGAATTAATCAACTCTTTATTTATCAGAACAACACTATCAGAATGAACCAGGGGAAACTCATAAGTTTTCACAGGCGCAACGGCGCAACAATCGGTAATTGAGAGATTTACAACTAACAAGAGAGTAAAAGCGAGCTTTTGCGCTCTCTTTCTCCATTAGTCTCTTTGCCTGCAATCAGATATCCAAGTGCACAGCGAGAAATGCACACTTTGGGCACCCATACATCACAAATGTTCTTCTAATTTAAACTCACACATTCAAACTGGTCTGCAAGTATGATAACATCCAAAGCGTACCAGACTGCTGTTTCCGTGTTGCTCCCGTTTGACGCGTGACTGCTGAAAGTTTCAATTACAACTAGTGGTGCAAACCGCCATGTATTGTGGAAAATTTCAGGTATGTTTCAAGAGGTGATTGAAGGTCTGCTTGGCTTACATCAGGCATTGTCCATTCACAAACTTGCCACCCGCCACCCAAAAAAGCTCTCTTTTAGGTGCACTATTTAATGAGTTTTGTCATGGTATTGTTACCGATATGCTTAGAAATCAATGCATTAGGGATTAGGCAGACCATCCGAACCTTTTTGAAGCAAACCAAGGTCGAAGATTTAATTGAGCCACACTATAAAATAGTTATTCATGGTCACTTGTAATCTGGAGTAAAGTAGTTCAGCTATAATGTGACCAAAAAATCTATAAAAAAATCTACACGCATTTTTTTAATTATTCACACCTGTGTCGTGCACAGGTTGCACATGTGGACGCGACGCCACTGTCCCATTTGCTTCGCACACATTTTTTCAACTTATCTTCGAGAAAGCAATGCGCACAAAAAGGCGGTGGGAAAAATCACACTCCGTGCGGTGCAGAAAGCGAATCAATTATAAAAGACAACTGATGTCTTCTTTGTCGTCTTTGCTTACCACGATAGCATGCGTAGGAGGAGATGAAGAAGTAGAGAA